CCCATGGTTGGGCAACCACTGCCCCCCCCTGCAAAGCCTGAGAAGTCAGGAGGAGCCAACCTGCTGCCAAGCCAGCTCCAAAAGGGAGAAAAGTGGTGCATCAAAGTCCCCAGTGAGAGAGGAGCAGGATATGGGGATGGAACAGCAAGGGGCTGTATCACCTTCACCCCACAGCACCCCCAGGTGCAGCATAGACCACATGTTCCCACCCCCCAGCAGCTCCTGAGACTGCTCCCCTCTGGGGAGACAACCCGTGTCACAGGGCAAGAGGCTCCTTCCATCCCCCACCCCCCAGGAGGCCCAGGGCAGCTCACCCTGTGCCCCCTGCTCTGGCTGCACCACTCGACTTCCTCCTCCTGCTGCAGAACAGACAGAAACCAATGTGAAACCACCCCACAACTGAGACCTCCTGGGTGCCTGAACCATCTCCTCCTTCCTGGAGAAGGAAGCCACATCTCCTGGGGCCTGCCTGCCAGGATTTAGGCAGGAGGCAATCCACACCAGACAAGAAAATCCACAGCAGCAGCTACCAACCACCTCCACCCATGGTGCAGAGACCCCCCAGCCCCAGGCTCTGCTGCCCAACAGGGCAACACCCCACAGGACAGACACAGTGACAGACCCTGCCTCAAAGCACATGGCTTTTCACCTCAACCTGCTTCATGATCCCACTTTGACAACACCTCAGTGCTTTCCAGTGACCCTTCCACAAGAAGTTCAACAGTGCCAGTGAATGCAACATGCAACAAGACAGGGGCTGCGAGGCCCTCAGATGATTTTTAAACCAAGCCCCAGGCTCCTGCAGCAAGACCTGCAATGATGTCCTTGTGTTGAAACTGTGTTTCAGAAATTACATCAAAATTACATCTCAGAGACAGCAAAGCTGCAGGGTGAGGATGTGGCTGCTATTTTGGGCTTTGGAGATTCAGTGCTCAGGAGCAGTGAGGGCCCAGCCAGTGCCTCCCAGAACCTGCAACACACAGAGGTAGCACCAAGAGCCTGAGCCAGGCACTGGTGTGACAGCAAACATGGTCACACACTCGTGGTCAAGACTGCAGTGAACAGAACAGCCCCTCACCACCCTTGCCCACCCCAGCCTTCCCACAGCTCAGCAGCTCACCCTAAGGATACCAGTGGCACTGGGGAGAGACAATCATATTTCTATCACCACCCCTACAGGCTTGTTTCAGAGAAAGGAGGGAAAAAAAAAGAGACAGAAGTATTGCCTATACACACACTCCAGAGAATAGGTCAAGGTCTATATACACAGCCAGAAAAATCTGAATGAGAACAGGAAACAGCACTGGCATCCCAGAGCACTGGAGAGGGCAGAAGGCAGGGACAGTGTTGGCACACACAGAGATACAGGCAGGAAGGGGCAGCTGCAGCCAACAGCTTCTCTTTAAATTAAAAGCATCTCATACACACAGGCGCTTTGCATCACATCCCACAGCACTCATCACATGGGCTCCAAACACAAGCAGGCACTCTCTCCCCATACAGCTTAAAAACAACCAAAAAACACTCAACAAAAAACCCAACAGGTCCCTGGCTTTGACTTGGAGATTAAAAAAAACAAAACACAACATAAACAAAACACAAAACACAACATTTCTCCTTGCTTTAGGTAAGGACCTTGCCTCTCACCCAGCCGTGGTGTTTCCCCCCTTCCAGCCAGAAGAGGCCATGCTCTCTCCAAAAACCAGACTTAACACCAGTTGTTTTGTTTCCCAAACACGTCTCCACTGCTTTTGTCCTCAGGAAGACTCCAGAGCAACCAGCCTGCCACAAACAGCACCGTGGGAAGCTCCACAGGCATGGTGGTTGGTTTTATTTTTTAGCCAGTGTTTTTCCTCTCTGTGAACTAAAAGGATCAGCCCAGAACATGCAATAGCAATTTGGGAACTTCTGCATGTGCTCCCTCTGAGATGGAGTCTCTTCAAGTCTCCTCCAAGGTTTAGAGCCCAAACATGTACTTGTTTGAAGACAGCTGTTGAGCATGCTAAAAATCAAGCTGCTTTATGGGAATGATCATATCAAGTACCACAGTACCTATCTGAGGGGAAATAAGGGTAACAAGAAGTTCTCCAGTTTCTTACAGGGGATGCCAGGCTATCAACAATGCCCTTAGATAAGCAGAGAGGCCAACACGCCCAGCCTGGAGTTCTCTTGCACCAGTTGTATTGACCAGGTCTGGCTGGCTCCTACCTCCAACAATGTCCATCCCAGGGCAGGGGGACCCAGAGCAGTGTCACACCTGCTTCCCTAGAGGCAAGGACACTCATCTCTCCCAGGATGGTACAACACAGCAGCTGGGATGGTCTTGGTCCAGTCTCAAAGGTCCATGTCATACATGCTTGCTCCAGGACACAACACGAGGGGTGGAGGACACTGGTTTAACATGTCCCTTGTACCCGTTTCTCTTTATGAAGGATGAAGCTGTAAAACCTTTGGCAGTTCCCTCCCCAGGCCATCCCAAATACTGCCTGCCAGGGATGTCATGAGCATCCTGAGTCCATCCTCCAGCCCCACCAGTATTGCCTCCCCATCTGGCTGATCATTTGGGGTTCCATGCACACCAAGGTAGTGGTTTGATCCTGGTATGGCAGGCTGTGGTCTCCTGGGTGGCAGTAGATGGGGTTTATCGTATCCTGGTGAAGAGGTTGAGAACAGACACAGACTCCTGAGAAGAAAAGACAAAGCAGGTGCTAAGTGCTCCACAGCTTTGTGCTGCAGTGCTACTCCCTGGGCTTCTGCTTTGTTGTTTTGGTTTTGTTTGGGGTTGTTTGCTGTTTTTTTTAAATAAAAAACCCCACTAATCTGCTGAGTTATCTCCAGCTCAGTGCACAATCTGAGCTCATAATTCAAAGTCCAACACATAAATATTCCCATGTTTCTTTTTCAACTGATAACAAGGAGCACAGCAGGCACACATGCCATTCCCACAGCTTTGTGGGAAGTTGCACCCCAGAGCCTTCAGAAGCCATGAGAAGCAGTAAGGCTGGCTCCCTGCAGCTCATTCCTGGAGATCCCTCTGACATTCCCCACTGTCCCTGCCAGACACCCAGGAGAGCTCTCAGAGCACCTGGCACAGCCTGCTTTGGTGGTGATGAGCTGTCCGTGGCAGCAGCCACAATCCCATGTGCACCCAGGCCACCATTCTGAGCAGTTCCATAAACAGCCAAGGAATGGCCACCTCTGAGGGCAGGTCAGCTACTAGCAGCAGGAGGGAGGGGAAGATGGCAAGCTTAGTGGGAGCTCCCTGAAGTGCTGCTGTGCTCAGCAGCACAGTAACAGGCAGGAGAAGGATGTTCTCTCACACTGCCTCAAGCATACAGAGGCAACATCTTATTTCATCTGAGTACTACAGATCCCTTTTCATCTCAGCAAAGTTTAACTGCATCTAGCCCTCCATGTGCAGGATATGTGAAGAGATCAGAGGCAGGGCAGCAGAACAGAGGCAACCTGAGCTGAATTCACCCCTGAAGCTGAGCCTCCTGCAGGACACAGCTGCAACCACCCACCCAACAGCCTCACCTTTGTGGAGCGAGTTTTGCTGAAGACATTCCAGAAGCGCAAGGTTTCATCTCCAGCTCCTGTGACTATGGCCTCTCCATCAGGGGACATTGCCTAAGGCCAAGAGAGAGCAGCCTTCAGCATCTGTTACATTTTTGAGGTTGAAAACAAATCTTCATTGGAACAGAAGAGAGCTATTTAACTCTCCTTCCTGCTTGGCTGGCAGTGAGAAACCAAACAACTACCTCTGCTTTCCTGTGCCTTCCTCAGTCCCAGTAGGTGCTGATTCAAGCACCTGCATTTTACTCATGCAGCTGTGGAAGACTTGGGGGGAATGACCATAAAAAGGATTCTTCTGTTAAGAAATCCAAGAAACTTGCAGCTGATGCTTTCCTCCCTGGATTCTAAATGGTGTTGAGGCAGGAAGTGTGATATTTGACTGACCTTTGCCAGCTCTGTTAGTCACTTTCACTGGAATCCACCTCACAAAACTATAAGCATATTTATCAACTCTGCTGTGAGATGTTGAAACCCCATGTAACAGTAACAAAGGAGGTATGAGATCAGTGGGGATTAACTGCATTTTAATGACTGAAAGCAGCCAATTCTTCCCTTTCTGGAAGTCACCTGTGAAAAAAGTGTACATGTTTTACAGGAACAAGCAGAGATGCTTGTGCTTCTTCAGAAGAGTTTTGGCAGGCTTAGCTCTTTGTTAATAATGCCTTAGATTTCCATAGCAGCAAATCAAAGTATCCCTTGCAGGCAAGGAAACCAGACACAGAGCATTCTCCATTAGGGTAGCATTCATACCTCCACTCATCTCAGCACCACAGGCTCCCCAGCCCGTGGCCTTAGGGTCTCATCCTGGTGCACATGCAGCCAGAGAAGCAGCTGCAGAGGTTTTCATAGAATCATCCTGGTTAGAAGGGATCTTGAAGATCACCAAGTCAAACCATAACCTAAATCCACCAACCATAACCTAATCTACCCGTTCAGTGCTTCAATCATGTCCCTCAGCACCACATCTCTATTTCTTTTAAACACTTCAGGGATGGTGACTCCACCACCTCCCTGGGCAGCCTGTTCCACTGTCCAACCCCTCCTTTGGTAAAGAAATTCTTTCCAATCTCCAGGCTAAATCTCCCCTGGTGCAGCTTCAGGCCATTTCCTCTGGTCCTGTCATTATTCCCTTGAGAGAAGAGCCCAACTCCCACCTCCCTGCCACCTCCTTTCAGGTAGCTGTAGCCATGGGCTTCACTTACCAGGTAGAGGACTCGGTAGGAGTGCCCTGTTAGCTTTGCTACTTGAGTCAACGAGGGGTATTTCCAGACGAGGATTTGGTTCTGCGAGTATCCGTGGGTGCTCACCTGGAAAGGGAGAGAGGGGAAAATGCGCATCGTGCTTCCTAACACAGAACTCAGCAGCAGGACAGCACAGGAAGGAACTCACCAGCTCGTTGGCATGCTTGGACCAGGCCAGGTTGCAGACCTGGGAGCCCGTGTCGATGCACTGCAGAGGCTGCCCCGTCAGCGTGTTCCAGAAGCGGATGCAGCGGTCGGCAGTGCCCCCCCCGGAGGCTAGGAGCCCATGCTGGTGTGGAGACCAGGCAATGGCTTTTACTGCTGCAAGATGCTCTGTGTACTGCTGGACAGGACTCAGGCTGGAGTGATTCCAGACAAGGAGCTGGCAGAGAGGAGAGACGTGATCAAACTTGTGCTGCAATTGTGTCCACACAGCCACAAGCCACAACGTTGCGCTAGGACTGATGAGGGCACTTGGGCAATAAGATGATTTCCCACAGCTCTGCCCAAGCACATGCATCTTCACTTGGCATTTACAGCCCTGGAGCCCATCCCACCCTGCCACCATGCTCAGCTGAGGAGCTGTTCTCCCACAGGGCTGGGAGGAAGCTAACAGCCCTTCAGTTAAGCTTACTAAGCCAAAGACAGAACATGAACTCAAACCCTTCTTTGCTCTCCATGACTCTGTTATTCCAGAACACATTTAGAAATATGCTGAAGTTCATCTGCAGTTATTCTGAGCAGGAGGAACTCGGTACACCCAGGCTGTCACATAGACACTGGGCAAATTCACTACCTAGCAACCCACTCCAAAGGGCTCTGAATACTGCTTCTCCACAACAGATGCTTCTTCCATATGGTGCTCCATGAACTCCCAGCCTGCATCATAGGTATGAGAGCTTACAGGGCTCTAAACTCGGGTTCCTTCTGCATGCATAAACATTAATGCAACAAACTTGACTATATGCAACCTAAACAAAGTCAGGAAGCACAGCTTAGCAGGAGCTTTGTTGAACTCAAACCCTGAAGTCAAGATTTAATTAGCCAAATACAGAAGCAAAATTAAATTTGCCTTTTTAATTTTATTAGGCAGAGGAGACCGAGTGGAAACTTAGTATGACTTATGTTTGGACACAGCCCAACAACTGAAACAAAAGCCTTTTTCAGAGAGGATGAATATCCTTAAAGAAAGGTGGCCTGACCTTTCTTGGTGAAGATCTAGAGACACTGAACCTCATGTGACTCCTTGGAAGTACAATACCTTATTATCATTCCCACCAGAGGCCAGGAGCTGGTGGTCTGTTGACCATTTGAGTCCACAGACCTCCTGCCTGTGGCCCTGGAGCCGCCGCTCCGACTGCAGCGGGGGGGTGCGGATGTCCCTCTGAAGGATCATCCTGTCCCTGCTCCCAGAGGACAACTGGTCAGCATTCCATGCCAGGGCACCTGCAACACAAGCACAGAATGTTGGGGAAGTCCTGCAGGAGCAGGTAGGCAGGACACAGCCACCACAAGGTTTAAAAGGAGAGAAAATTAAACCCCAGAGCTCAGGGGCCTCCCTTATACCCACTGAAGTCCTAGAATAGCGTGCAAAGGGAGATTAACCTGCACAAACATATTCAAAAGTATCAATAATCCCATTTCACAGTGCAGTAAAGCACAGAAATTGAACTCGGAAGGTGCCTTGACTTCCCAAGTCTCACTCCAGAGATTCAAAATGCCTCCGAGCAAGAAAACTAGTCCCTGCAAAAGAAGGGAACTGGAAATCTCAGTGCAGAGCAGCCTGTCTGCAGGGCTGAAAGCGGAACCAGCGGCAGTAAAAAAATGTTGTAACCAAACCTAAAATGCCTCAGACATAGAGGAAACACCTGCTGCAATATTCAACCACCACCACACCCAGGATCAGAACACCACAATTACTAGATGATAATATTTTGAAGACTGCCCAAGACATAGCAGGGAATAAATATCAATTCTGGTGCTTTTAGAGTTCTGCTATTTCAAGCAGATCCCTTGTTTACCAGGGAAAAGTTCAATCATGGAGAAACGTGAAACCTCTGCCTCCCAGCTCCTTACCAACTCTGGCTGTGTGCCCCTCCAGCATGGAGAGTTTTTTTCCTGCAGCTGCATCCCAGATCTGTACAAAGCCCTTGTGAGTGCCAACAGCTACCAAGTTCCCCTAGAGAAGAAAACCACGATCAGCAAAGCCAGTAAGTGAAGACAGAGATAAAACGAAAGCTAGAAGCTGAGGAAAAGGCTTGAGATAAATCTCAAAAGATGAAAAGAACCCAGAGTTCTTCCATCTTACACCTTTTGCCTACTGAGTGGGCCAAGCAGCCTGGTTGGAATGTATTTATTCTAACATTTTATTGTCAAGACCTGGAGGAGGGAATTGGCTCTTTCTCCCTCCCACACCTGTTAGCAAATGCCTCAAGAACCTCAAGATACACGAGGCTGCTCTTCACCCCCTCTGCTTTAGCTGAGAAATAGTGCAGACAGGAACACATGCTTGAACTGTGGTGAAGTTAAAATCAGGCTACAATAATGTCCAAGTTACACAGATTTCAACTGTCCTTGTTGTCCATGCGATACTGACCCTTTCTGACCAGCCCACAGATGTTACGGAATCTCCTTCCACAGAGAGGTCACACAGCCGGGTCACCTTGGAAGCAGGACAGAATGGAATAAGAAACACTTGCCAATATCACATGACACTACCAGCTGCCTTCCAAACTGGTACCCAGTTTGGGACAGAGCACTGCAGGTGCTGAATCCCTCACACAGCACCGAAAGATGCTACAGCTGGAAAGGACCTCCAGCAACAGGTACCTCCCTCTCCAGATGGGGCCATTTACCTGGCTAGTACAGGCACTCCAGAGGTAAACACAAGTCCCAAGGCCAACACTGAGGACATTAAGAGATGACCAGTCCACCAGGTTCAGGTAGAAATCATCTTGCAATTCTGGGGCATCCAGCACTTTGAAAGGAATCTTCGAGATTTTCCGAGTTGGTTTTCGAGGTGATCTTAGCAGCTTCTGACTGTTTATAAAAAAAGGTACAAAAACAGCTACAGGATCTTACACATCACAGCACGTGGCAGGCCCTGAGGCAGCTGCTCTTTAAGCACACCTGCACTGCTACAGAAATGCACAATGAGGCCACAACATTCTTTCCAGCAGGTAAGACTGGAAGAATTAGGTTCTGCTTCTTTAAAGGAGTCAGGGAGCAAACAGGGAAACTGAGTACTGGAAGTTGGCCAAGACATATTAAGTATCAGGCAGGTTGGGCACCTGCAGGAAGTCTTAAAACTTGAATGTCCCTTATTAGGGCCATGAAGATGATGGGAGGGCTGGAGCAGCTCTGCTCTGGAGACAGGCTGGGAGAGTTGGGGTGTTCAGCCTGGAGAAGAGAAGGCTCCAGGGAGACCTTAGAGAACCTTCCAGTGCCTGAAGGGGCTCCAAGAAAGCTGGGGAGGGACTTGGGACTAGGGCAGGGAGGGATGGGATGAGGGAGAAGAGTTTCAAGCTGAAAGGGGGAAGACTGATATGAGATCTGAGGGAGAAAATTCTTTGCTGTGAGGGTGGTAAGACCCTGGCCCAGGTTGCCCAGAGAAGCTGTGGCTGCCCCATCCCTGGAAGTGTTGAAGGGCAGGTTGGATGGGGCTTGGAGCAGCCTGGTCTAGTGGGAGGGGTCCCTGTTCATTCAGGGAGGTGGGACTGGATGATCTTGAAGGTCACTTCCAACCCAAACCATTCTATGATACTCATGATCTCCCCAGATTTCCAAAACCAAGTCATGTGCAGTTTTGGGTGCCATAGAAAGAAGCTCTAGAGAACCTCACTGTCCCAACCCTCCCCTTCCCACAGCCCGTGGACAATCAGCATTACCTTTTGTTGCTGACAGGAGACAGGGAATAGGGTGAGACCTCGTTGCCATCATCTGGACTTGAGCGCTTTGTGCTGAGCGAATACTGGGGGAAGGAAACACCCCAGTGAGGACCCAGTGCCTACAGAACCACCTGATGCTGAGCTAACCCCAACACCAACTGACAGATTTTCTAGACTTTTCAGTTCCTCCCTTTCCCAGATGCTCTGGAACCATACATAAAAAACCCACAACAAACCTCATCTCCACTGAAGTCCAGAAGCTTGACTGGGTCATTCACCACACTGTCCAAAACAGCTTGGTTCCAACTCACCTTCCTTGCCAGCAGAGGAACCAGCAGCATGTTGTTTGCTGCAGATACTTGTGTTCTCTTTACAGGCCACCAAATTGTGTCAGCAAAACTTGGCTGAGCCACAACACTAACTCACTTGTACTATCAGCCTGGCAGAGCTGAGAGCTTTGTTCTTGAGATGTGCAACACTCAGTGGTTTTTGTGCAAAGGAATCAACTTACAGTGAAGAGAGACTTCTTCTCTGGGGTGGATGGCTGCAGCCTCCTGTCTTCTGTCTGTGGGTCTTGCACTTTCTCAATCCCTGCTCCTAAGAGCTCGTTCTTCAGCAAGGCAGAGTAAGCAAGGCCATCTGTGAACCCAAATCAGCACTTAAGCAGGGAACTCTGAAGTGGCAAACAGCTCTGCAGGGCCTGGTGGGATCACACATTCACGGGGCCTCTTAATAAGCCTGAAGTCACAATTAGCAGCAAGCTTCTCCTCCCTCCACTCCAACAGGAAAGTGCTTCCAAGGCACAATAAATCAAGGGACACAAGTAGCCTCTCATTTTCCAGACATCAGAAGCCTAGGGAGGTGACACCAGGGAGGTTCACTCTCCTGGTGTGAGGGGTTCCTAAAGCACCAGTGTGAGTTTTTACATAAGCATGAGAGTGTTCCCTTGGTTTCTCAATTTGCCAACATCTTGAAATAAAAGCTACACGTGTGACCCAGTGGTAGGAAGGTGGTCTCACCTTTGCCATTGTCTGATGTAGCATCCTTCGCTTTTCTGTTTTGACTGGGTGATTTTTCATTTTCCTGAAAGGGAAAAAACATGCTGTCACCAGACAGAGACCTCATGGTACATGGTAAAATAACAAATAAGTCTCCTGGACCACAGAGCAACCTGCTGAAGACATGCTCTTTTGGGGTAGCAGAAGATCATGGTGCAGAAGCAAGCAGAGTAATGTCAGCCAAAACAAAACACCCCATTTCCTCAGTTCCAAAGCTGGGATGTAGGAGAGAGCAGCAAAACTCACATTTATTCTGTGGAAGTTGATGCTCCAGTTGGCCCCAGCTCTGGAAGGAATGAATCTGTCACCATGCTTACTAGGAGAAGACATTGGAGAATTGGAAGGCGTCAGGGTTCTTCTCATCTCTGCTACCTGAATTGAAGATTAAAAGACACAGACAAGAACAAGTGTTGATCACAGCAGGGGGCTGAAAAACATCAATGAGGTCCTGTCAAAGCTGAATATGCCTAAGTAGAAGAGCCAAGCATTAGTTTATTCCCTTAACAGAACTAGTAAGCACATCAGAGCCAAACTGTCATGAGAACTTCTATCAAAAGAAAGAATTAAACAGCCTCTCCTCACTGCTCCTTCTCACACTGACATTGTCAAGGCAGACACATGAAAGGCTGGAGTGGAGCAGACTGCAGGGTGAGCAGCAGACTCCTCAACTGGAGCCACATTCTTTTTAATAGAATAGCTTCTGTTGGAAAGCCCAGCTCAGAACTGGGATAATTGCAAAGTTACATTGAAGGTCACAGCCTCATCCAGTTGATTTGCAGCATCTCCAAGGACAATGACCCCCTGAGCTCCCTGTCACAATCTGCAGACGCTCTCACTGTGAACATTTTTTCCTAGTATCTAACTGGAACTCCCCCAGCTGCAGCTTCCATCCATTGCTCTTGATCCTTCACTATGGGCCTCTGAAGGGAGTCAGACACCATTTTTTCCACAACCACCCACCAGATAGCTGAAAGCAAGAATTTCATCCCTCCCTAGTCTCATCTTCTACAGGCTGAGCAACAAAGGTCTCAGCATCCTACTCCAGCCCCCTGACCATCTTGGTGGCCTCTGGTGGACCTGCTCTAGCTTGTCTAGACCCATAGTTGGTTTGTTTGTTAGCTCCCTACATTTTACATTCCATGTGTTCTTACTGAGATTATTTAGTAAAAAGGCATTACTGAGCTACATAAAAATACCTTAACTCCTTTTTCCAACCTGAACTGAGTTTAATCTAAAGCTTTGTTGAAGTCAAGTCATATTTGGTTATTCCTAGAACAGCTCAGGAACTTACACCTGCTCACAGCCCAACAAGAGACTTAAGGTTTGCTTCAAAGAGGTCCCACATCTTCCAAAAGCTTAAGTGAGAACAGTCACAGGCAAGAAAGACACCAACTTAATAGTAAGAGCAAGAGCATTAAGCACAGCCCCTTGGTACTCACACAAGGCATCGTGTTTTCATTCTGGATGTTGATTTGGCGTAGGAGGCGTCTCTCATAATCCTGGTCCATGGTGAAAAGCAGAGGGGCTGGGAAGTCCAGCAGGCTCAGGAATTTATGATCATGAAGTCCAATCAGTAACTAGTCTGCTGCAACAGATAGGAGAAGAAACCCCCAAAATATTACACCCCTTCATGCCACAGCAGCCTCTTCAGAATCTCCTAAGAGACTACTTTCCTACCCAGAGCATCGGTATCAAACCTGTGTGGTACAGCAGAGGGCTGCTAAGGAAAGTGTTTTTCTGTATTATTGCCCTTGGCTGCTGATTTCTGTGCTCAGGTAACCAGCATTTTGTGCCAGAGAGGGCCCAGCTCACACTCCCTAATGCTTTGTCCACAACTCAAGTTGAGACAAAAATGCCAATGCCAGAAGAAACGCACCAAGTTGGTCTCTCAACCCAAGATAAACATCTCCAAAGGGAAAGAAGGAATCCAACACGTGATCTCCAAAAAATCCCTGTAACACCCAGGCACCTGGAATCTGTGCAAGATGTAAAGGGATTTTCATTTGCTGTTATTGTCTAAATATTTATGGCATCTGACCTGAGTCCCAGCTACACAGACAGTGTTGCTTTGAGAAACAAATGTGGCAAAGCCCAGGAGGCAACAGCTCACAAGGGGCTGTGCTGGGAGAAAGCTGTCAGGCCATGCACTGCCATGGACTGCCCACAGCCTCCTGAGCCAGCCAGGAGGTGTGCAGGGAAAGGTTTGCCTCCAAGAACAACAAATCCACACAGGGTTTACCATTAAAAACTGGAGGCAAGGTACCACACCAAGAGGGGTACAGCAGCACACACTGTGGTCATGGCAAGAGGATAACTGGAAAAGGGGAGATTTAGGTTTAGGAGGAAATTCTTCACTGTGAGGGTGGTGAGACCATGGCCCAGGTTGCCCAGGGAAGCTGTAGCTGCCACACCCCTGGCAGTGTTGAAGGGCAGGTTGGATGGGGCTTGGAGCAACCTGGGCTGGTGGGAGGTGTCCCTGACCATGCAGGGGGTGGGACTGGATGAGCTTTAAGGTCCCTTTCAACCCAAACCAGCGTGGGATTCTATAAGGTGTGATTAAGTATTATGATAATCTATGAAATCAGCTGGATAGCAAAGATAAAGCACTCAGACTCTGGACCTCACTCCTGTAGTAGCCAGCAGAGCTGCTTCCCTTTCATCTAAGCAGTTTGTGAATATTGAAACTTGGACTTGTTACAAGTGCTGAAATGTAGAGGCCTTTTCTTTGCCATTAAGCATGACAACACTTTCACAGGAGCATCCCTGAAATAGTGCCAAGCTGTTCCTGAGTACACCTGCCTACCTCTGCCACCTCCTCCCCCAAGCTCTCTTCTTTAATTTGATACACTTCTCCCATATGTTCTTTCAGAGGCAAAACCGGAGAAAGCTACAAATTTAACAGTAACCAGCTTCCACCAAGTGATGGAAGAGCCAGAGATGGAATGATTGTGAGTGAAAAGTTAGAAAAGTCTGTGATGTTATTAATGAAGTAGGTTAAAATATAAACCAGTGTCAGACACTCTCCCTTGATTTGTGATTTATACTTGCATTGTCCTTATCTACCTACGATCTTCCAAACCTACCTCAGATGCTAGCAGGACCTCTCAAACCACATATTTCAACAAAATGCCCCTTTCCTTTCCTTTTTTTAACAGCATGGATAGGCATCAGCTTGCAGAACTACAGCAGATACAGATGGACAAGAAGCAAGATGCACCGTGCATGGCCAGCCTGAAGCAGAGCTGGTCTGCACTGAACCCAGAGGAAGTTTGCAGGAGGACCAGGATCAGCTGGGAACACCACACATTTGAAGCATCCTCCCAAAATGGCAGCACAGGACTCATGACAGCTCAAGATCCAGTTACATGGCAATGTGACATTTTTAACTCTGGATGTGAAACACATTCATTTTCAGAGCTTTTCATGTGAGTTCCCATCTGTACAATTTTCAACTATAACTTCTAATCAGAAGTGTGAGCAACAGAATAAACCACACAGGCACTAATAAGCCTCAAACAACCTTTCAGGCTTCAGATGCTTCAAATTAAAGCATCCCCATAACATGAATCATATTTGAATTACCAAGACATCCTCTACCCCCTTGGGCCCTGTCTAAATTTGGAAATATATTAGGTTTTTTACATTTAGAGGTTCTAATGCCTTTAGTATTCTTAAGAGTCTCTCACTTTCATCAGCACCTCTCAGGTTTAACATTTACCTACTCAATTACTTTCCAGTTTTAAGAAGAATTTCTGGATTTTTAAGAAGAATTTCTGAAACAAAAAAGGGTCAGAGATTGTCCAGCTCTTGCTCTGCTCACATCTTGAATGGACAGAGCCAACACAGCCTGTGTGTCTTACCCCAACTTCAACACATGCTAAAAAATCCAAATAGGTACAAGCTGCCTCTCCAATAACAGAGAAACAATTTTGCAAAACTGCCTTCATTTCACTGCCAACCCTGGCATTCTGCATGCTGGCTTATTAAAAACAGATCCATACTGAGAAAAAAAAACAAACAACATTTAAGTACTTGAATACATTAAGGTTGGGTCAATAAAAACAAAAGAACCAAATGCACTTGTTCAGCACTGTAACTTTGCCTAGAAGTATTGTTCTGATAATAATGTGAACTGTGATAAAATCCAGCCAATTCAAAGACAGGACACAAGGTACAAGGACAAAATAAAGCCAGTCAGAAGATAAAATTCCTTCCAAGGAATTAAAAAAAGACCTCAATGAAAACCCACTTTTCTTCTCCAAGGATAAACTACATAATAACAATATACAAAAAAAAGTATGCCACACATACAGCTACTCAAGAGCTTTTTTAACTTCAACTAAAAGTTACAGTCCACACACTCCCAGTTCTCATGGCAAAGCCTTTCTTGGTTGCTTCAGGGGAAATTGAAAACCCACCCACTTCCCACAGACAAATTTAGAGTTATCAAAAGCCTACCCCAAACCAGAGATGCTACCTTCTCTTTGGGCCTGTGTTTAAAGACTCAGGTTTTGTGGTAAAAACATGTCATTATTCAGGTGCTGAATATTTACATACCATGAGGAAAAACCTCATAATTTACCAAGGGGAAAAGGATGGAGTAAACAAGTACTCAGTCCTCTAAGCCATGAGCAGCAGGATGAGAAATCAAACCCAGATGTTTTGCTTCCCCAAAGCCAAAGTTTTCATCTCCCAGTGATTTATCTAAAAGCCATTACTAGGCAACAGTTGCAAATCAGCAAGTTAAAAATCTCAATTGGCAACAGAAGCAGACGCCCAGGTCTCCCTACACCCCCCCTGGCCAGCCCAGCCCTTGCTGACCACACCATGAGCTGGTTTGGCTCCCTGAGATCACAAAAAAACCACCCCTGACCCTAAAGGGCAAAACTTTTCTGCTGGTTCAGAAAGCAGCACCTGTACCTCAGCCTGGAAGATTCTAAGAGTATTTCCAGCTATGGATTCTTCTATTTTCCAGACTTTTGAACAAGCTGTAAGGGGGGGAAAAAAGAAAAAAAAAAAAAGAAAGCTAAACCGTGGCATTTGTGGCATGGAACAGTCAAGTCTATTCCAAATGCAGCCAGAACCCTAAAACCAGCTCCCCAGCACTAAAGCCGATATGGACAAGGAGCAAGATACTCCATGTGTGGCCAACCTGAAGCAGAGCTGGTGCACATTGAACCCAGCTGAACAGTTTGCACGCTATACCAACCATTCCTTTGGATTAACCAGCCTCCCTTCAAAAACAGCAGCAGTACAAAAAGCTCCAGCCTTGTGTAAGTTTTCCAATCTTTAACCTTTTAAAGTTACAAATACGCAACTTCTTATCCAGCCATTTAGATATTAGTCTGAAAAGCACTTACAAGATTAACCATTTACAGAAGTATCTCTTAAACAATGGAAACTGGTAAAGCTTTATTTCCAAACAAAATATAAACTTCACTGCCTTGCATTTGTCAAAGAAGATTGTTCAGGTATTGCAGAGAGACCAGGACACAACCAAGCACAAAATTCCTTCAGTTGTGGTGACAGACAAGATCTCCACACCTCAGCCTCACTGCAGAGATTTTCAATACTTCACCAATAAACCAAGGCTATTTCTGCAAGAACCACTACGTTGCATCAGAGTCTTAAAAAGCACAATATGTAGGTGACTACTCTTCACTGAACGTAAAAAATCCATGTTATTTCTGCCTTTCCAAGGCATCCTGCAAACAAGTGTCTCCTGCCCAGGGAGCTCACAGTCCCTTTATATATTTGCTGCCATCAGCTCTAGGACTCCCCTATTCCCAAAATGCCAACTTCTGTGTGACCAGCAATGGGTACAAGCTGAATTCAAGTTTGATTTGGAAGGCAAAGTGGCTCAAAAGCACAGCCAGGGCATTGTTTTCACCTCCTGCCTGCACTTAACCTCCCAGCACTACAGAAACTGGAAGTGTTGCAATTCCACACTAAGTGTAGGAGACAAGTAGCACACACAGCTCTGTGGCTCCTGTCTCTTCCAGTGGCAGGAAATATCACCCCTTCCCCACAGGCTGGTGATTCAGATCAGAGGTGACACGTCTGACTTCCCACAACTCATATTGTGCCTCCACCTCTGCTCACAGACAAGCTACAAGACTGCCCTTCCAGTCAGCTTCTGAAGACCATTTAAGGCTTTGCTGTCTTCTTCTCCAAAGCAATGTGCAGTCCTTCCAGGATGACAGAGGAACTCTGACCACCAAACCACAGGGCAAAGGTGCTAACTCAGGACACTCAGGTCACCCAGTGCAGCAGGAAGCCTGTGTGAGCCAAGCATGAAGTGTTCAAGACAAAGACCTCAGGACGTGGCACGGACTTTTACACACCAGTTGGAACTCAGGATTGCAAAACACATTCAGGGAACAGCAAAATCCTACTTTGGAAGAGCCCTTTCTATAAAATAAACACCCCCCTCCACTAATAATTTCTCAATACATCATTATAACCCTAAAAGTTTTTCACCATGATTTACATATACAAAATAGCTGTTCTTTAATGCGAGCCCTCATCTAAGGAGAGGATACCAGGAAGTCTACCAAGAACTTTGGTTGCTATTGCTGCCTCTTT